GCTTCAATTTGTTTCCAACCATTTTTCGCGAAAATATAGCCTTTTGAAAATTAAGCTATTTTGTTTATCCTTTAAAATATTATGAGCTCAATTTACATACAAACAACATTCAAAATTAGTAGATATCAATGAGAGTTGATATTACTTTTGTGTTAGTACCTACTAAAAATGGAAAATACATTCGTAATATATCTACGTATTATAAACGTCAACAAAATTAAAATAATATATTGGGAATATATAATCAAATTTTAATTTTGTCACACTTAATTTTACATGGAACTTACGAATAATAATAATGAGACCAACATTCCTAATACAGATTATTTTTTAAAATTGTAATGACTTGCTTCAAAAAATATATATTTTTCCTTGTAATAAAAAATATATTTTTATGGAACATTTTAATAAATATTGTGTGTTGTTTTAAATGTTTTCGGTAATTCTTATGAAGATAATTCCACATAAACTGAGAAATATTATTTAATATTATATGAGTGTCTTAAGTCATTAGTTTATTCTTATTTAGATAAAACTTTCAAATCATATTTTGTATTTAAAAAATGTAATAAATTCAGCACTTTTACAAAATTTCTTTGGCGAAAATACTGTCGATATATTCCTGCAGTATTGTACAAAACATATTCCTCTGCTTGTTAGGTACATCTAACAAAGCATAACGAATACTTTCACAAAGGAGCTACTAAAACATATTCACCCTCTTAAATAAAACCCTGTTTTTAAGGCACATCCTTTCGTCCCCCATAATCACAAACGGCCCCCCAAGCATAACCTTTACGCATCAAGTATTTCTATAAAAATATATACAATGCCTAAAGTTTTACACAGCAGATATAAGAATCACAAATAATTAATTCGATGTCTCCGTGTCCAAAGATTATGGAAAAACTGGTTTCCAAAATGTAGCAGCTGGTTTGAGCCATCTCAACAGTTGGCCAAAAGTCATATACACGGTGTAATAACGACGGTGCAACAAACTTTCAAAACAGATTCCTCTTGTCAAAATAAAAGGATAATAGTTCGTTTCTTAAAATATTTCATAAGAACCTCTTAAAAGATGGGGTGAAACACACTTTTTTTAAGTCGGCGAATTTTTTAATTTTAAAACAAGGCGCCTATTACTAAATCAAATTTGTTTGTATCAGAATAATCGACCTGCAGGTAATTAATGTCAAAACTATATGAAACTACATTTTCACTGTTATTTACGTTTTACAGATAATTATTTAAATAGGTGGTAGTCAAACGTAGATTTAAATCCATATAAACGTACCTTGACTTATTTAGAAATTGGAGCATTGCAATTGGTCTGATGTAAAAGTTTTAATATTTCTGGATTTTACCCATGATTCTAGAAAAAAAGCTCAAGAGGCATAATAGCTTTCATTGACATTTGATACTCCAAGATCTCACTTTATTTATTTACTTATTTGTTTATTTATTTACAATTAACTTAACAGAATTTTGGCAGAAAATCCAATAACAGAATTAGACAAAAGATTAAAAATGTGTGAACTATGTATAGAAGACAACAAAAAGTAAATGTAGACTAAACAGAGAAAAAGGAGAGTTTAATTAAAAACACTTGATGAAATTAATGAAAAAATAAATTAATATGATCAATATCAAGTATTCTAAAGAAGGATCGTTATAGGAGTTTAAGAATGAAAAACAAAAGGTATGTTGAACGAGTATACGTTGTTGCACATTAAATAATGAAAACAGAAGGTGTGAGTGAACCCTGTGGTATACACGATGTAACAGCAACAAAGGAAAATGAGCAATATATTAAACATATATGACATAGTCGATCTTAACAGATTACCTATATTCTGAAGTTTAACATTAAGGATTATGGTGAACATTATCAAAATAATTAGAAAAATCGGTATACATCGCATTTATCTTTTTGACATTGAGTTAAAAATGTTTTGTACCATAATTTACAACCAAATGGCCTTCAAGAAGGCATTTTGATGCTCACTAATAAAATGCTGTTTTAAAAAAGAAAATCTTTCACCTTGAACATTTTACCAGGAATTAAAAGTATAGAAATAGGTCGGTAATTGAGTGGAGCGTTTTTTTATTTTTTATATAATTAGTTCAATGATTTCAGCCTGATTCTAGGTCTTCCACCTAGAAAGGCTCCATTTTATATACAATTAGGAATTGAACATTTTTAACAAAGGTTACAATATGGATTGAAAAACATTTTTAAAAATAAAGGAGGTAAATTTTCAAGTCAAGCACCTTTATTTAAATTATTAATTTCGTCTTTAATTTTCACAAGTTTAATAGAAGCTGGAAGCAAAATATTTGGAAGATTATTTACAAATAACGTGTATCATTAAAGCAATGTTATTTTCCAGTTGAACAAATTTACCCTTATGTTACTTTTATACTATTTTTGTTAGATAAAAACCTAAAAATTTCTTCATGTTGATATCAGTATCACTTTCAACTTTACAAATATGCAATTTCAATAGCAAATCTGACTTGTCCACGACTGACAACATTGATTTTACTTATATTTCAATCAAAAATAGAAAATGTATACCATATAAAAACCTATATGTCTTTTTCAACTGTATGATTAGAAAGTTCAAAGTTCTGACGCAACTTCTTAGTTTTCCCCCAATCTTTACACGTAGGTAGCTGCTGTTACGGAGCCGCACCACTAAGTTTGAAGTTTATATTTTCAATGGTTCTGGGGTATAGACCAAAAACTTCATTTCTCCTAGCATATTTAAAGAATTTTAGAACTTTTTAGAATTCAATGTTGAAAGTTTGTCACTACTAGACCCTGTACATAATTAGAAAGTTAATCTGATAGTATACAGCATTCAAACTTTTTATTAATATTCTTATTTCAAACCTGAATTTATTCTTCAATAAATTAATTTCTTTAAAAAAATAATTTAATTTGATATTAATTTGTGTTAAATTTAAAAAATCTGTCTCACAATAGTTTATTTCGAATTTTGATATTTTTTAAATTCTCTCAATATTTAAGGTCAATTTGAATCTACCCTTACATTTTCATACTTTTTTTATCTTATGTACTAGAGATTTTTAAATTAAAATATGTATCCAATTTAAAACAGTTCGTCTAAGTGTTTTTGTTATGATATTGCTTTATAATTTGTTGATAAATATAAATTATTTTTTGTTGTCTTGTGACTACTTTTGTTTTTTTTAATATTATATGGTTATTATGGTTTCTATGGCTTCTGTGATAAGTTGGGGAAATTTATATACAGGCTGGTCCATTTTCGGTGGAATTTCAGGGTATCTCAGAAACTACTAAAGATATGATAAATCTGACACCACGTTGTAGAGCTCGATTTTCATGGCAAACTCGACTGTCAAATCAGAAATTTGCGATATTCATTTATTTCTGAGTTACAGGGCGTTTCTCGTTATTGTGACACTTTTGAACATGTCTGTATCTCAGCTATTAAATAGGGTAGAGTTAAAGTGAAAACTGCTCAAGACTAATTCTTTGACGTAGAATTGAATGCCGGTAATAGATTTTTAGTAAATCTTAAGATTCCGGAGTTATTTTTTTAACTGGAAATCGTAGCTGGTCATGACCTAAACTAAAGGAGATTTTTTTTTGCTTTTCAGCAATATATCACATGCTATAGTTATTTTTACAAACAGGAGGTACGGAGTGTTTTATATATAAATTCGATCCTTTTTTATATTTTAATATATCTGGCTATGAAAATACACACCAAACTATAATTCTTACTTTTACAAAACTCATATCTGTTGTAAAAATATTTATTTAAAATATATATTACAGATAAGAAATGACAGGGTTTTCAAAATTTCATTCCACTTCAACTCAAGTTACAATATTAAACGTAAATTAAACAACCTCAACTGTCACATATTTCGCGCAGCTTCTGGCAACGCTTCGGATAGCATTCATTAAATGTATATTTGAAATATTATTAAAAGAATTTTCAACATTTCGTCGAAGTTCCTCGATAGAGTAAAAATGAATTTTAAATATAATGTCTTTTAGAAAACTCCAAAGGAAAAAGTCCAACGGACTCAAATCAGGTAACCATCTAATCCATCTAATCGGTTGTTCCTATCCACCTATCTCCTAAAATTTCGTTAGTATTATATGTATTATCAAACGAGTATATGTTGTGCATTTAAAGTATACGTCATATTTTTACAACAGAAATGAGTTTTGTAAAAGTAAGAATTATAGTTTTATATGTATTTTCATGGCCAGCCATATTAAAAATGAAAAAGGTATATAATTTATGTATAAAACATCCCATATCTCATGTGCTTGTAAAAATAACTATAGTATGTGATATATTGCTAAAAAGCAAAAAAATCTCTATTTTTTAGGCCATAGTCAGCTACGATTTCCATTTAAAAAAATATAACTGGGTAATAACTCCGAAATTTTAAGATCTACTAAAAATCTAATACCGGCATTCAATTCTACGCAAAAGAATTAGTCTGGAGTAGTTTTCACTTTAATTCTAACTTATTAGCTGAGACACAGACATGTTCAAAATTGTGACAATAACAAGAAACGCCCTGTAACTCAGAAACAAATGAAGATAGCAAATTTCTGATTTGACAGTCGAGTTTGCCGTGAAAATCGAGCTCGAAAACGTCGTGTTAGATTTATCATATCTTTAGCAGTTTCTAAAACACCCTGAATTCCCATCGAAAACGGACCAGCCTGTACATCTTTATATTGTAGTCCTTTGTTGAAACCTGAAGAAGTAGTTGTTCAGACTACGAAACCTGTCGTCTCTTTTTCAAAATAACGGATTGTTTGAGGTACAGACATTTAAATCTTAGCATAAATTAGTATCATTGTACATACTTACATGGGTTGGACCTGTCCAATATTTATTTAATTTATTTTGAAAGTATTAACTGGAGACAACGAATTCTTTTTACAGATGGAAAATTATTATCTAAGCAGCTCAGCAGGAAGTTCATACTGTGAACCCTTCTGCGCAGTGCTGTACCCTGTTATCAGGAGGTGGGTACTTGCAACAATAACTGGATACCACGCCGCTCACGGCTAGAATTAAGGAGAAAACGGAAATCCCACACACTGCGCCGGAAGTGATGTCCGCCAGTGGAGTTCCGGGCCTGGGCTGCATCACTAATAGCACTAGGAGGCCGACGCAAGTCAAGAGGCTGAAAACGCTCAGCACCAGGTAGCCTACAATAAGAAAATATATGATTACTGGAGATATTAGGGTTGTTCCGAATGTGATGCTTTTCGATATTCACGAATACAAATGCAAATATTTGAGGTTGATGTTTGAGAAAGTGACAGTGAGTAAATAACACCAAAAACTGCATCTTAACAAATAGAAAATACAGGGTGTAACTTTAGTGCATCCAGTAGGTGTTCCCTTGGGTCATTTTAAAGAAGAAAAGTTCATATAAATCATGAATCTATATCGTATATGACTTAATTTTCGAGATACAGCGCGTTATACTGTTTAAAATAGTTATTTTTGATGCTAGATTGCATTTGAGATAGAAAAAATTATTCGAGAATGCAAAATAATTTTTTTTCGAAAACTGTCCCACAGTTCCAAAATTGCTAAAAATTTGAAGAAAAAATCTTTGAAATACATATCTACAAATACAAGTGTTCAATCCTGCATTTCTAAAACTAGGTATTTATAAAATAGATCGATACAAACTATTCTTCCTAAAACAATCACCAGTGAAACATTTGTATGTATTGAAGTTACATTCTTTATATCTGGACCAATGTGCGTGAAAAAAGTTACTAATTTTTTTCAATACATCGAGATGTCATTTATACAGGAAAATTAAATGACAACTAAAAATGTATTGCTTTTGCCCAAACAAAAAAGAAAAATCAAAATAAAATCATTAAAAAAAAAGTAGGTAAACATTTTTTTTTATATTGAAATATACTTTCTTATATAACTTTCTATTTTGTTTAAAAAAATGCAGACACGAATGCAAATTTTAAATTTGTTGCAAAAAATTTACACTTGTGATTGCACATTTTTGATAAATTAAAAAAATATTTAAAGAAATACACAGATGCATTTATTGTTTATACTATGTATTCCAAGTTTGATAAACTACTATTTTTTATGAAAAGATAAAGAATTTTGGTATGTCAACTGCCTTTTTCTAAAAAAGAAATTACCTGCATACCGTTAGCTACAAATTTCATATTTTATACAATAATAAATATAAATCAATGTAGGTTACCTAGTATAATTAAAAAAAAAGACTTATTAACTTAATGTTTTGCAATGTACAAGTGTCCAATCAAGCATTTCATAATAGAAAATACTGTGCACGGAAACATCCATAAAGTGAAGAAAAACGGTTTGGAAAAGTCAGTTTTTAATTTTAATCGGCTTATTGCTTTTATAATGATTTTAAGTTATCTGATTTTTTATATCTCAGAACCCTGTTGTACGAGAATCACTAAATTTGGTACACATGGGTTTTATGACATGTGGAATCTGATAGTACTACGCTTTTTGACGGGGAACCCCCTTAAGACAATTTTTCGTGGGTACCCTTGTCTTTGGAACCAAAAAAATTTGGTCGCATATTTAAATTTCTTAAAAATTATTAGTCCGCTAGAAAGTCATTAAATTTAAAAACTTTTTTGTCCCTTGATACTTTTTTCGTAAAACGTAATGTTTTCGAGAAAAAAGTCACAATGTAATCGAATACGTATCGTGATTAGCCATTTTTCTCAAAAACATTGCGTTTTATGAAAAAATATCAAGAGACAAAGTTTCTAAATTCAATGGCTTTCTAGCGAACTAATAATTTTTAAGAATTCAAATATGCGATCAAATTTTTTTGGATCCAAAGACAAGGGTACCAACGAAAAATTGTCTTAAGGGGATTCCCCACCAAAAATCGTAGTATTATCAGATTCCACATGTCATAAAACTTTTGTTTACCAAATTTAGTGATTCTCATACAACAGGGTTCTGAGATATAAAAGATCTTTCATAGGGGTGGATTTCAGGGGTCTGTAACTCCAAAAGAGGGGGCCACTTGGCAAAATTAAAAAATACGGGTCCCCTAAATTAGTCTTAAGAATCTATGACCAAATTTTGTTGCATTAATTTCGGAACACCCTGTATGATTATATGTATTTTGTTTAAGTTTCTACAAATTTTACTTTTTATACAACAAACTTTTCCGCCGTAAAAAGACCAGAACAAAAATATACTTTTTTCAGACTTTCTACTTATCTCTAAATATAAATAAAAATTTGAAAATACTAATAAAGAACTGATTTAAATTCATGGACTCTAAATTAAAAAAGAATCAGTACAGTTGCATTATATTAATTCTCTTTGATGTATTTAATACAAAAAATATGTAGTTATGTCATAATATATGTCTTTTGTCTACTCTAACAATTTGTATGCATCTGCAAAAAGACGAGAATGGAAAAATGCTTTAATGTAAACTATTTGCAAAGTTGCAATTTCGAGGAAGTTGGGGCGTTTTGTTGAGATAACGGCTGATACTGCTAATAATATCGTACTTAAGAGATAAGACCCTAAACGAAGCAAGGAGATAAAAATATTCTTTGATTCTGAAAATGTCAAAGTAAATAAAATGTTCATGTTTTTGTACATAATTTTTCGTACAGCAAGAACTGCCAAGGGGCAAGAGATGGAATGGACCATAAAAATTCTTATTTTTTTAAATTTAATGATAAAGAATTTGCCGATGGGGAGGGAGCAAAAGTCCACAGGGTGTTGCGAAAGTGAGAACAAAAATTTTAGATAGTAATAGAACATAAAAAATAACACGATTTTTTTCAATTTAAATTTTAGTCATATCTGGTCCAAAAAAGCAATGTTACGTAGCGACATTTGGTACAGGTATAGAAAAAACTTCTGGAATAATTTTGAGGATGTTGGATGTAAACTTGAGCGACTGATGTATCTCAGTAGAAGTAAAAATCTGCTTGAGGTTGAGTTACAAATATGTCGACCAGTGACGGAGATGTGAGGGGTCAGTATAGTCTTTCCGAAATCAGTTGAAGAACCAAGACGTTAACAGTATGTACCAAGTTCAGTCGCTGACTCGGCATTTGAAAAAAAACTTGTTCCCATATTTATTTAACCATACCCATATACAGTCTGGTCGAACTAAACGTGGTGGTAGAAATGTATACGCCCAGTTGAAGAATGTGAGCGTGGGCAAACGAAATCTAACACAGCTGCATTGGGTCAATGGGCAATAAATCTCAGCTGTTGACAAGTGTTGACAAATTGCCCAGCAGTGCAGCAATACGGAATTTGGTGTGATTCAGGTAATTTTAATTGTTTATAGGCACCTTCTTTTAATCATTGATATTACAATTGCGAAAGGGAGAAATAATATTATTACAACTTGGCATTTTAGAGACCTTTTGAAACGGAAAAGAGCGAAATTTACCATCAATATAATAAAATAGTTTGAGGACATAAATATTTAAAATATGTTGTTGGCCAAATGAACATAATAGAAATTTTTTACATATTATATACAACTTTTTTATAATTTTTTACCTTCAGCAGAAAATTTTTTTAGGGACGCCTATAAAAGTCATTAAATTTTATTGCCAGGCGTTTTTTACATGTTCAACTGAATTCGGAAAGACTATACCACTAGGAGTCTCAGGATTTCGACGCCAATGAGTATACTGCAGATACGTTTAGTGTTTTTTTATTACCAATGGAAAAAAGATCTCTTATAATTTGTTCAAAGAACAAAAAAATCATTGATCTAAAGAAATGGCTCTTAAAAAAATATCAAAATTTTAAATTGTATTTCTAGAAAATAATCCCAAAAACTGCTTTTGTAGAACAAATAGTTTTATAATTATTTGCGATTTATTTAGCTCTGTTGTAAGCACACTTTTATTTGAAAAAATCTAAACTTTAAAACGGCTCGTTCTTCGAACAAACTGTAATAAACTGATAATAAAAAGCTTTATTAATATAATTTGCAGAATACTCAATGACGACGAAGTTCTGAGGCTCTTAATGGCACTGGCCCTACTATTTTGATAAAACCCAAGTTTCGTCAGTTTACTACACCAAACTTCCTCACAGAGGTATTTCAATTTTTTTTTTCTAGTTTCAAGACATTGTATCTCAAAAATAGAGCAAACTAGGTACATATGAAATGTTTTGCTTTAAAAAATTGTTATATATTAAAGGACGTATTGTACTTAAGCAGTTATTTCAGAAACACCCTGTATAAACAATGAAAACTATTAAAATTAATGATAAAAATGATTAAAAAAATAATGAATGTGTGTTTGTACATTTGGTGTAAAAGCCGGGAAGTGTGGGGTTGAGCAAACGCCGCTCGCTATACTTTCCCTTTTCCCCTCCTTGCGTACGCCCGTAACACTTAACCCGCATATTGCATCCCATCTATTTATTTAAAATGAATGCACTACAAGTTGTCTTAGTTTCATAGGAATTAAAATATCTACATATTACCTAGTAATTACCTTACACCCTTCTTTGTAAATCACCCTGACTTTTTCACTTATAAATTTGTAAAAATCAAACAGAATAATTCTTTGTCATTATTTTATATCTGTGGTTTTAACATTTTACGAGTATTCTTTAGAACGGCTAAATTTCCATGAAGCTTTCTTACCTGAAATATAATTTCTATTCGGCAACCAGTAGACATTATTCGTCCTGAATCCTAACAATCCTAAAATAAGACAAGTAAATCCCGCAACAATTCCAAAATCCAAGAAGTAAAGTCGTCCCATTATCGAGATCATGTAGAAACACAATCCTGAAGTCACAGTTCCACAAAGGAGCATCAGAAGAGCAGCTACAGCCAAAGTGGATCGCACAGACTTGTTTCCAATACTCAAATTCATCCAGGACTCGGATTTGTTCGAATAAGTAGTCTCACTGTAAACTGAATGAATCGGACTTGAACACATTGGGGCCACTATTGCTGTATGCCTCTTGTCTTGTTCAACCAGTTGCCTGGTCCCTAGGGCGTAGTTCAACTTTTGTTGAGCTTTCGACGTATGACTCCTAATTTTCGGAGGGGAATTACTGGGGATTTGGAATTCTTTAGGAGATAGTGCAGGTGGTATAACCTTTCTACCACTTTGTGGAGAGAGAATTTTTTGAGGAGTGCAGTTTCTAGAAGTAGAATTTATCTTCTTTGGTGTCGATAACAGTTCGTGGAGCTTTTGTGTAGCAATGGGATTACCTGCACGCTGCTGAAGCGGTTGTTGGATGTATTCATATCTTCCACCAGACACGGGAGATTTTGGGGAAGTCTGTATATATTCATATCTATTGGGGCTCTGATGAATCATTTGCTTGGGAGAATCTTCAATGTATTCGTATCGGCTTTTATTTTGTGATACTATAAGTGATTTTTGGGGAGCTACTGGTTGATTTTGAGGCATTACAACTGTATGAAGATCCGCAACTGGAACAAGAGCATATCTAGCGTTTCTAGCGGTCAATTCGGTCTCTTCTTCAGTTTGTATGACGGCGTATCTATGTACTCTCCCAGGAAGAACCTCGACTTCTTTCTGAACTTGTTGCTTTTTAGGTGTTGTTTTTGAATATCTACAGTCATGTTCCTGCATTGGTATGTATTCGTATCTATGATTTTGATTCTTACTAAGTTTAGTTTCTGAAAGTTTTTGTTCACAGTTACTGATTTGTTGAAGGACTCCATACCTGCTCCCCTGCGTACTTTCTTCAACTGGGGGTGGAGCATATCTACTGCTATATTTATTGTCATCTTGAGGCACTTGAATGTACTTTCTTCCTTCGTTGTTTTGAGCCACGATAACGAACTTCTTCTCTTTTATAAATCCTTGATCGTCCACCACAACTTCTTCGTAAAACTCTTGTTCTTGTACTCCCTCTTCATCAATTGCGCACTTTTTTCCGTCATCACCCACTGAATTATCCAAAACGCGGTGTGGTGTTTGAGCACCCACTGGAGACTGCCTAATACTTCCCCGAGGGCTCAGGGGCTGTGGGGGGCGTTGTCCATTATAAAATTCACTTTGCTGGCAAAAAGCCGGGTTGGTATAATAGTTTTTTTTAGTCGCCATGCTTCACTAGCACTAGGTTCCTAACATTAAGAATGATTTTTGCTTTGGGCAAATCACGGTATAAAAGAAATCGGTTAAAATTCGGCGCGACGTCGGTGTCTTCTAACGGCCGTTAGTGTCACCGACGACAAGACTTAACAGCGACTGGTGGTTACTCAGAGCGTAACGGTAGCAGGGGGCCAGAACAGCTGCATATGCCCAACGTCATGTGTGTACGTATGGGGTAGATTGCATGGGCGCACCGTGGCAAATTTCAGTTCTAAAATTCGCAAGAAAGTAAGTTAAATGTACTTAATTCAAATAAAATGACAATTGTTAGTAAATTATTATACAGGATGTCCAGGTAATGATGGATAATCTCTCTAATTTGAGTAGGACTCCCAAAAACGTAGCGAATTAATTTCTGTTTATTTGAGCTCACCCTATACATTTATTAATTATTCTACGAATAATAATTATTAGTAGAATAGTTCCAGTTTTCCCTTTATTTATTTGGGTATTTTGTCACTCTTGAACAAAAAAAACCGATCATTAATGAAATTGATCCTTGCGCCAAAAAGATGATTCGAGGGTTATATTTTATGAAAATAGTTTTGCCTAAACAATCTCACACGCAGACCAGTAAATTCAGTCACATTTTATTTTTTTAATTTTGTTTAATTTTTATTTTTTTTTATATGAAGAAATTCTAGAATAAATTAAAAATGTTTATTTAGTCGTACCTTGTTTAAAAGTTTATACATATTTTCAGTTGTACCTACTCTCTCATTTTATTCAGAAGGATTTAGAATTTTAAATACAGGGTGTCCCAGAATAACGTGTACAACGGAAGACCACAGATTCGTGGAATCAAAATAGGCAGATTTCACCTATATCCGAAGTCGCTTCGTTTGGCTGTTAGATAGTCTCAAAGTTCGTGAAAATTTTTTGAATTTTGTAAGTAACTCGAATACGTATTATTCGATTTTGATTATTTTTGGGGTGTAGACTTTCGCTTTCAATCTACACATTTTGGTGTTATACAAAGTGTTTTTTGAACTCCTACAAAATTGATATATGGTATGTAACCATATCCATTCATAACTTTTTCCTAATTAGGGCAATATTGACAACTATTTTTAATTTGATAGGTGATACCATTTGGAAGTTTTTGGGCCACTTGTAGAATTTTGATTAAATTTCTTTTTTTGTCTCGTTTTTTCGATATAAGCATTTTAGTTACATAAAATAAAATAATTTATAGGAACAAATTTTTACTAATAGTTTTAGCTCAAAAGTAGGTAAATCTTTAATCATATGTCTCAAATAATGCAGGAAAACTAAAATTATGCCACAAATAAATCATTTCAATCAACTATAGGTTCATGTAAATTGCTTCGTTTGGCCGCTAGATGGTCTGAAAATTCGTGAAAATTTTTTGAATTTTGTAAGTAACTCGAAAACGTATTATTCGATTTTGATTATTTTTGGGGTGTAGACTTTTGCTTTCAATCTACACATTTTGGTGTTATACAAAGTGTTTTTTGAACTTACAACTCCTACAAAATTGATATATGGTGACAATATCCGTTCATAACTTTTTCCCATTTTGGGCAATAATGACAACTATTTTTAATATAATAGGTGATACCATTTGGAAGTTGTTGGGCTTCTTGTAGAATTTTAATTAAATTTCTTTTTTTGTCTGCTTTTTTCGATATGAGAATTTTAGCTATACAAAAATAAAATAATTTATAGGAACAAACTTTTACTAATCGTTTTAGCGCAATAGTTGGTTTAGTTAATTTTTAAATCTTTAATCATGTGATAATATACTCAAATAATGCAGAAAAACTAAAATTATGCCATAATTAAATAAATTTCAATCAACTATAGGTTCATGTTCATTTCTTTTTTTTTGCAAGTAAAAAATATATATAATGTTTTCACTATTTATCATTTATTTAATTGGTTAACTTAATGATGGAAAAAGGTTAATTAGTATTGCATATAAAATATATGCTGTTATTTATTCAATAAATATTCCTTTCTAAAAAAATATGTTACGGCTATGTGTAGCACGAACCAACGACGACGTACACAAAGAATTACGCATTTTAATGCTTCCCGCGTATACACAGACCATTTCCATTAACCTATAGACTCCCTTCAATAATACTCTGATGCATTGTTCTGTTCGCTGTACCCGATGTCATTAAAATAAATATAGATTTATCAGTCAGATACAGAGTTACATACGATATTTTATGTCCCTCAATTATATCGAAGAATTAATTAATTGCATAAACACTAACATATGCGTTTGTTATTGGTATTAAACAATGTATCATTGCGGTTAAAATTAAATTGCAAATGTGAATAGGAAAACAGTGGATTGATACATTTTTTATTTATATTTAAGATTACCTAATAGATGCTGCTGCAAAGTTCAATCTACAGGGTAATTCTTTAATATTGCGAAAAATTTCAGGGACAGGTTCTTTAGATAAAAATAAGAAAAAATGTTCCCATTAGCATGTGTTCGGAAACGCTTCGTTTCCGAGATACAGGGCGTTCATTTTTTTTGTAATCTACTTTTAATACTTGTTATTTCAAAAGTCCTTTAACTATACGATTAGGGTATCTGTCTTGATAGATGTCTGATTAAATTATCTTATCGTGTTCAAACAAAATAGCCCCAGTTGGCTTGGAAATTGGAATGCCCACCAACTGTCAATAATTGTTTTTTGTCAATAGTTGATTACTGTTTGTCACATTGTGAGTGTAGGAGTGTTTCGTGTTTTAAAACTGATATTTCTCTTCAAAGAATGAATTACACAAATAATGAATTGTGCAATATGCATTTTGTTTATGGTCTTGCCGACGGTAATTCGTTAAGGGCTAGGCGTATTTATGAGGAAAGATACCCTAATCGTCCAATTCTGCATCATACAATGTTTGCTCGTCTCCATCTCCGTCTCAATGCACAGGAAGCTTTAAAAAAATGACTGCTGAAAACGGGCGACCTCGTACAGTTTCAACTCCACAAATGAAAGAATTGCTCCACGAAATCGAAGAAAGTCCTACAACAAGTACAAGAAAGATTGCCGCAAATCTAAATACTCGTCTAAATATTAGTCAGTCAACAGTCTTTAAGAAACTGAAAAATCAGCTTTTGTATCCATATCACATCCAAAGAGTACAGGCGCTTTTACCAGACGATTTTCCTCGAAGGTTGGCTTTTTGCCGATGGATTCAAGAAAAAATTGGACAAAATCCTCCTCAGTTTTTGGCAGAAATACTTTTCACCGATGAGGCTAATTTCTCCAAAGAAGCCATACTGAACTTTCATAATAATCACATATGGGCAGATGAGAATCCACATGCAATAATTGAAAGCCGCCATCAACATAAATTTTCAGTAAATGTATGGGTCGGAATTGATGGAAACCACTTGATTGGCCCATTCTTTTTACCAAGGAGGCTAACTGGAGAAGCTTATCGTAATTTTCTCGAAGAGGAGTTGCGGATACTACTGGAAGACGTCCCGTATCACTTAAGACTCCAAATGTATTTTATGCACGATGGCGCTCCAGCACATTTTAGTTTAATTGCGCGACAATATTTGGATGCGGTGTACCCAAATCGTTGGATAGGTCGAGGAGGCCCACAGCCCTGGCCTCCGCGGTCTCCTAACCTAAATTCATTGGATTTTTTTCTCTGGGACCACCTCAAACATCTGGTTTATTCCACTCCAATTGACAACTTTTATAACTTTATTTCTTCACTGGTTTTCATTAATTCCGCCATTTTAATTTTTTCATTCTAATAATTCTTGCCTCACTGTGCATTAATATTTGGAATAAATAAGTGCAAAGCAAAAGTTATTAAAATTATAATTTTGTAACATTTTGTATTATGTTATTTTGCATTTTGTATTTTGTATTATGTTATTAATGATACAAAAAATTGAATAAATAAGTGCAGAGCAAAAGTTATTAAAATTATTATTTTGTAACATTTTGTATTATATTTTGCATTTTGTATTTTGTATTATGTTATTAATGATACAAAAAATGCCTCTTATTATTAAACATAAACCAGTCAATTTTCAAATAAATCGGTTAAAGGACTTTTGAAATAACAAGTATTAAAAGTAGATTACAAAAAATGAACGCCCTGTATCTCGGAAACGAAGCGTTTCCGGACACATGCTAATGGGAACTTTTTTCTTATTTTTATCTAAAGAACCTGTCCCTGAAATTTTAGAATTTGCATAAATGTAGCACCTCATGTGTTAAAAGCATGTTGAAGCTTTAAAAAAATGCATCCCTAAATATCTTCTAAACAAATAAAAATATCCACTGAAATGAAATTTTGTGTGCACAGCACATGAATATTATTCATTTTATTTAAATTATATTCAACTAAATCAGTGTTGTAGACGTGAGTTCTTTTGGTTATACGTCGTCGTTTATTTTTTAGATACCACAGTTATTGTTGTAATTTTATTGTCAACAAAATGATCTTTTACTTTTTGTGCAGCTTTCGTTTTGGTATAAATTAACAATCTGTCTAGATAATGCGTTCGGAATAATGCTTTCAAAGTGACATCCCTATGCTTCAATTCACTATTCGATACATATCTCATATCTTCTGTTTATACTTTTTTTTCAACTTTAACTTCTTATATTTAAAAAACGATTGGCGTGGGGTGATTTTCAAGGAAAATACAGTCAGCGTACATCAACCTATATTTACGCCACTGGTCGCCTTCAAGAGCACATATTTATATCAGAAATTATTCTTAAATTTGGTGCTTTGTTTTTGTATAATGAATCATTTAGTATTTTTCACAAAAATTTAACCCTTTTAGTTATAACTGCAGTAGGTATTACAAATTTAAACATTAATATGCGTACCCACTGTTAACATTTATCAATAATAGGTAATACTAATTGTAAGTAATATTGTCTGATTACTTTGTTAAATTTCCATCTCCATTATTTATGGAACTATAG